CCACCTGGACCAGCCCCCCCAGAACAGAGAACCCTGCTCCCCCCCCCCCTGACACCCCCCCCCCCAGAACAGAGAACCCTGCTCCCCTCCCCCACCTGGAACAGCGCCCCCCCCCCCACCTGGACCAGAACAGAGAACCCTGCTCCCCTCCCCCACCTGGAACAGAGCATCCTGCCCCCACCCCTACCTGGAACAGCCCCCCCCCGAACAGAGAAACCCCCTGCTCCCCTCCCCCACCTGGACCAGCCCCCCCCAGAACAGAGAACCCTGCTCCCCTTCCCCCCCCCGGAACAGAGCATCCTTCCCCCCCGGAACAGAGCATCCTGCCCCTGCCCCTACCCCTACCTGGAACAGCCCCCCCCGAACAGAGAAACCCTGCTCCCCTCCCCCCACCTGGACGAGCCCCCCCCAGAACAGAGAACCCTGCTCCCCTTCCCCCCCCGGAACAGAGCATCCTTCCCCCCCCGGAACAGAGCATCCTGCCCCTGCCCCCACCCCTACCTGGAACAGCTCCCCCGCCCCCACCTGGACCAGCCCCCCCCAGAACAGAGAACCCTGCTCCCCTCCCCCCACCTGGAACAGCGCCCCCGCCCCCACCTGGACCAGAACAGAGAACCCTGCTCCCCTCCCCCACCTGGAACAGAGCATCCTGCCCCCACCCCTACCTGGAACAGCCCCCCCCGAACAGAGAAACCCTGCTCCCCTCCCCCCACCTGGACCAGCCCCCCCAGAACAGAGAACCCTGCTCCCCTTCCCCCCCGGAACAGAGCATCCTTCCCCCCCCGGAACAGAGCATCCTGCCCCTGCCCCCACCCCTACCTGGAACAGCCCCCCCCGAACAGAGAAACCCTGCTCCCCTTCCCCCCCCGGAACAGAGCATCCTTCCCCCCCCCGGAACAGAGCATCCTGCCCCTGCCCCCACCCCTACCTGGAACAGCCCCCCCCGAACAGAGAACGCTGCTCCCCTTCCCCCCCCGGAACAGAGCATCCTGCCCCTGCCCCCACCCCTACCTGGAACAGCCCCCCCCCGAACAGAGAACGCTGCTCCCCTTCCCCCCCCGGAACAGAGCATCCTGCCCCTGCCCCTGCCCCCACCCCTACCTGGAACAGCCCCCCCCGAACAGAGAACCCTGCTCCCCTCCCCCACCTGGAACAGAGCCCCCTCCCCCGGACACGGCACCCCGGGCCCCCGATGCACTTCCGGTCTGCGTCACGTGGGGCCCGCCCGGCTGCGGCGCCATGTAAGGCGGGTCCCCGCGACTCTATGGTTCCGCCGGGCGCCGCTCTGCTCCCGGCTCGAGAGCGGGCGGGAGCGGAACCCGCGTTCTCCAATCAGAGAGCAGCAGAGCGGGAGTTGCTTTGTATGACAGCTCTCTTGGCCAATCCAGGCGGCAACGCTGCGCAAAGCACGTAGCGCTACGCACCCGGCGCAGGCAGGGAGGCGCGCGAACCCCGCCCGGCCCCGCCATGAGCGGCAGCGCGGAGCCTGACCCCGCCCCCGCGGCCCCGGCGCCCCCCGCCCCGGCCCCGCTCCCGGCCGGCGAGAGCAAACCCAGCCCGGCCGCCGCGGGCAGCGCGGCCCCGGGGCCTCCTGTGCCGGCGGGGGGCGGGGCGCGGGGGGCCGAGGGGGGGCCCGGCGGCCGGGGGCCCGGTGAGAGGGGACTCTGGCGGGCGGGGGGCCGAGGGGGGGCCCGGTGAGAGGGGGCGGGGACCGGGCTCCCGAGGGGGAGGGGCCTGGCGGGGGGGACTGGGGGGTGGGGCGCGGGGGTCAAGGGGGGGAACTCTGGGGGCGGGGGGACCAAGGGGGGGGCCCGGTGAGAGAGGGGGCGGGGACCGGGCTCCCGAGGGGGGAGGGGCCTGGCGGGGGGACTGGGGGGTGGGGCGCGGGGGCCCGGTGAGAGGGGACTCTGGGGGCCGAGGGGGGGCCCGGTGAGAGGGGGCGATCCCCGGGCGGGAGGGGCCCGGCGGGGGGGGCTCCCGAGGGGTCGGGGCCCGGTGTGGGGAGGGGCGCGGGGTGTTGCTGCTTGTCCCTGGCTAGCCCTGACCTGCGTGTGTCTCTCTCAGGGCCCATCTCCACAGTGGTGGCTGCAGCTGCCTCCGACGGGCCCATGGCAAACGGGGTCTACGTGCCCCCCAGCGCGGCCAACGGAGATGTCAAACCCGTCGTCTCCACCACTCCCCTGGTAGACTTCCTGATGCAGCTGGAGGACTATACCCCCACGGTAGGGGCTCTGGGAGCTAGGACTCCTGGGTGCCATCCCTGGCTCGGGAGGGGGGTGGGATCCAGGACTCCTGGGTTCTATTCTCAGTGCTGGGTCTGGGGATTGGGTGTTTGAGCCGTGTTAGTCTGTATTCGCAAAAAGAACAGGAGGACTTGTGGCACCTTAGAGACTAACACATTTATTGGAGCATGAGCTTTCGTGAGCTACAGCTGAACTGAGCTATAGCTCACGAAAAGTTATGCTCCAATAAATGTGTTAGTCTCTAAGGTGCCCCAAATACTCCTTTTCTTTGAGCCTTGTTAGTGCCACTGTGTGAATGGTTTAGGGCAAGGGGTGGGAGGTAGCTAAAAGCTGGTCCCTTTTAATACTTTCCTGTCTTCCCAGATCCCAGATGCTGTCACAGGCTACTACCTCAACAGAGCTGGATTTGAGGCCTCCGATCCACGCATGTAAGTGATGCATGGTTCTATTTGGAAAATCCCCAACCACCCTGAGTAGGAGACCCCCTGTGTCAGGTCTTTGTGTTGTGGGGTCCAGCAGACACTCCTCAGCCCTGGCTGCTCATGCTCGGTGTTCTGTCTCAGGCTGCTCCGTTGCTTTCTCTGACTGCAGCATTCGACTCATCTCACTGGCTGCCCAGAAGTTTATTTCAGACATTGCCAACGATGCCCTGCAGCACTGCAAGATGAAGGGCACAGCTTCTGGCAGCTCCCGCAACAAGAGTAAGGTGAGGGTCTGCCCTGGGAAGGGGATGTGAGGGGACAGTCAGCGGGGCTGGGTATGACCCTGTCCCAGGGGGGCTGTTCCTCTGGCTTGGGCGCAAGGCCCTCCCACAGTGGTGGCCAAATTAAATTCAGCAGGGTTAAATGCAGAGTAAAGCCACTGGAGAACAGTACACCTCACAGGGTTTAAATTGTATTGGCTCAGGGAAGGGAGCTGGGTGTCAGTGCAGGCAGTGGAATGGAGACCTCTGCTTCGTGTACAGCTGCAGGCAAAACAAGCAAACCATGTTTAGCTGTATAAGGAATAGGATGGAGAATATTCTAATGCCTTTGAAACAAGCTGTGATGTGGCCCCCTCTGGATGCTGCTGGACTGGTACCCTGTCTCCCACAGGGTAGGGCGGAACGAGAGGGGCTCAGAAAAGGGCACCAGGAATGGCCAAGGGCCTGGAAAAACTCTTCTTTCTAGTATGCAGTGTTGGTCCCAGGATATTAGAGAGACAAAGATATTAGAGAGGTAAGGTTTTTTATTGGACCAGCTCCTGTTGATGAGAGAGTCGAGCTTCCACAGAGCTCTTCTTCAGGTCTGGGAAATCCAAACCAAGCAAAGCTTGTATTTAGCTGTGACACTTGGAGTTCATGTTAAATGGCTGTCATCAGGCTGGTTTGGATTTCTTGCATGATTTCCAGGTAACTTTCCTGACTGACCTTCTTCCAGTGTGTGGGTGCACGTGGTGATTTCTTGTTGGAGTGTGTGGTTCCTTAGGCTTTCTGAAGTCCAGCTGCAGAGCTGTAGGTAGTGGTCAGAGGGGTCTAGCCACTGAGATCTCTGGGGACGATGTGCTGTTTCTTGCCTTTGCTCAGGAAGTAAAGGTCACTGTTAGAGCTGTTGAGCTCTGTGTAAGCTGGATAGCTTGTCTCTCTCCAACAGAAGGTGGTCCAATAAAAGCGATACCTTCTCCAAGGAGAGACAAGGTTGGGGAGGGTGAGGGTACCTGGCAGCAGCTCCCCTACTTTTGCTGACCCTGCCTCCTGTCCCTACAGGATAAGAAGTACACACTGACCATGGAGGACCTGATGCCGGCGCTTGCAGAGTATGGCATCAACGTGAAGAAGCCGCACTATTTCACCTAGTGCCTGAACTGAGCCTGCAGGCCATGCCTTGGGCCTGGCCCCTCGTTGGGTGAAAGCAGGAGCTCTTCTCTGGTCTGTTATTAAACAGTTGATTTTGGCTGGTGGTTTGTGTGTGAGGGGCTTTTTGCTTCCTCTGGCAGTGATAATGCCCTGCCCTGGCCCAGGGGTTGGTGTCAGGGGAACAGCCCTCAGGCTCTGCTCTGGGAATGGATATGCCATTCACTGGGCCTGTGGGGGGGCTGCTTGTGCAGGTGCTGTATGTCAATGCAGGGAGCTAACCTCATCCCCACACACTGGTGGGGGGAGGGTAGTGGGCTGGAGAACTCCCCCCCCCCCCCCCCCCCCGGGTTCTGTGTCTAACACTTGGGGGCAGCAACTGGGCGTGTTCAACTGGGGGTGGCCTTGGGCTGGGACTGGGAGGTGGGTGCACTTGACCTCTGGATCCTACAGATGGTGCTGCTGTTGTGGGCCTGCAGGCCAAGTGGCTGAACTTTGGGGGCTCCCCATGCCCTGCATTGCCTGGTGCCGGGTATGTGGAATGAGGGGCTGGCCCCACCCCATAGTGCGGAAAGGGTTGTGCGAGCTGTGTGCATGGCTAGGTGCTCCCATGGCCCACAAGGGTAAGCAGTGCTCGAGGTTCATGGTGCGGCAAGAGCCCAGCTCCTCCTCAAAACTCCTGCTGAGCTCCCTGGCCTGTGATCCTTCCCTAGTCATGGGGGCACCTCTGGCTCTGGAGGCCACAGCAGGGAGAGCCCTCTGCCCCAGAGGACAGCTGGAAGATTTGTGTCCCCCTAGCCAAGGCCAGACAGGCCCATTGTGATCACTAGCCTGACCCCCTCTCTAACAGGCCTGAGCCCTTCCCCCAAGAACTCCTAGAGCTTCTCTTTGGGAACAGTGTTGTCGCCAGGTGAGTGACACAGGGCCAGTTTTCATAACAAATGTTTATTTCAGATGCTGGCAGCTCTTCTGTGTGGCCTGGCTGGAAATGACTTAAAGGTGAAGCACAAAGCCAGAGCAGCACTAGGTGCAGGCAGACAAGTGAGGCCCTGTCCTAGGGGGAGACCACTGGGACAGGGGTAATTTATATATAATATAAAGAGGGGTGGGGCATCGTTCTGGGCCCGTGAGAGCGAGGAGAGGCATAAGGTGCTGGGTGGCTCCAAGGCCTGACCCTAGCCCTGCGGCTAGTAAAAGCCACCCTCACCCCTTAGCAGGTGCTGGCTCAGGCCAGGCCTTAGGGCCAGCCTGTACCCACAGCTGTGGGGGAGGATGGAGGTGGCTGCTGTGCAGTGGGTCCTGGAAGCCTCAGGGTTGGTGTCTGGAGCAGGAAGCTTGCAGGGTAGCTCCAGGGGAGATAGCACCATCCGTACCATGGGTCTGTGGCCGGCTCAGGTTGCGGGGTCTGGGAAAGCACCAGCACCGCCTGCTGGGAAGGGCGGGGCACCTCCTGAAGGCACTTGGAGGGGGCAGCAGCAAGCAGCAGGGGGCCTGGCCCCTATTTCTCCTGCATCTTCTCCAGAATGGGGACGATCATGTCGAATTTGGGCCGTTTCGCAGGGTCCTCATTCATACAGATCTTCATCAGCTTGCAGATGTGGGGGGAGATGCCAGGCGGGATGGTCGGGCGCAGCCCCTCCAGGGCCACCTGGGGGCAAGCAGGATGAGAGCTGGGGACAGGCATGCACCAAGGCCACAGCCCCCTGCTGGATCCTTCCCACCCACTCCCCGTGGGCGACATGAGGAGCTGGGCCTGTCGGACACCCCAGCCTTTCCAGTAAACGTTGGAGGGCTGGGCCCTGCCTTCCCACTCACCTTCATGCCAATCTCCATGTTGGACAGGTCTGCGAAGGGCACCTCACGCGTCACCAGCTCCCACAGCAGCACCGCAAAGCTCCACATGTCAGCCGAGCGCCGGTTGATGTCCTCAGGCTTCTTCTGCAGTGCTGCAGGGGAGCCAGCGGGGGAGCGATGAGCATGGGGGGGAGGGGTCGGGAGCACGCACCTCAGGAAGGGGCAGCACAAGGAGATAGCAGCCCCCTGCTACCCCCACAGGTGCTTGGCACTCACCCTCAGGCGCCACCCAGGCTGGGGCATACATCCTGCCTGGGCACTGGAAGGAGAACTTCACATCAGCCATGCTGATACGCGCTGTCATGTCCTCGTCAATCTGCGGGGAGAGAGGTGGTCAGCCAGCAGCCTGGCCCCCGAAGCGCTGAGAGCCCCGTCCCCCTGCACTCACCATGATGCTGCGGCTGTTGAGATTGTGGCGTGGGATGAGGGGCTCCAGCGTGTGCAGGAAGGCCATGCCCCGGGCAATGTCCAGAGCAAACTTCACTGCTTGCATCTGATCCACCACAAAGTCTGCAGGGAGACAGTGAGCATCAGCGCTGGGGGGTGGGATGTGGGGCTGGCGATGGACGGACAGACAGATGGACAAGGGGAGCAGATACAGGACTGAGGCTGGTGCTGGGGAAGGTGGCGAATGGGAGGGGGGCATGCAGGGCCATCCCTAGCTATTCTGGGGTCCTACTCAGCACCCCCACCATGGGGGGGCTGGCAGACCTCTGTGAGGGGAGAGCGGGGTGTTGGCCCCTGGACTCCGTGGGGGCATGGGACTGGGATGGTTTGGGGGATGGGGGGAACCACCCCCCAGCACTCACCAGCAGTGCGGCTGGGGCCGGGTTGCTGTACTTCCCGCTGCCAGTGAGTGCAGGCCCTGTCCTACTGCAGAGTTATGAGTGGGAGGCGGAGCAGGGGCGGGGGCTGGAGCAGCATGCTGCTGCGCAGGGCACCAGGAAATGTGGTGCCCCAAATTTCCTGGTGCCCTACACAGCTGCATACTTTGCGTATGGCTAAGGACGGCCCTGGGGGCATGTCTGTGCTGTGTGTGTAAAACACAGGGTGAGGCGCCGGAGGCTGGGCCTGGATAAGGCAAGTGTATCATGGGCTACGACTCTTCCCCACCCCCCAGCACTGAGGACCAGGTAGGACAGGCCCCAGGGGTGAATTCTGGGCCAGTTCTAGTACCAAAGTTGTCCCCCAGTAGCGATTTTCATTAGCACTTCCTCTCCCCGCGTTCCCTGCCCTGACACTCACTCGTCCCCTCGTGTAAGACATTGTAGAGGGAGCCGTAGGGCATCCAGTGCGTGATGATGATGGGGTGGGGGGCGGGGGGCGACTGGCAGGCCCCCAGCACCGGCAGAACATTGGGGTGTGAGAAGATCCTGGAAGAGAGAGGAATGTGAGAACAGTGGGCTCCCCGCCCCTGCCAGCCCCAGGCTCCCCAGCACCTACCGGAGCTTGGGATGCTCCTCATTGAAGTCTCGGCTTTTCCGCGTTGTCCAGTCCCGAATTTTCATCACTTTGATAACGATGTCATTGCCCTGCCAGCGCCCCTTCCACAGCTGCAGGGGGACAGAACAGAGTCAGCTGGGGGTGGGGTGGAGCTGGGGACAGAGCAGAGACCAGACAGGGTCAGCTGGGGGCAGGGTGGGGAGACCCAGGGAAGAGCCAGGACGGGGGCAGGGTGGATGGGGGGAGATAGGGACAGAGAAGGGATGAGACAGGGTCAGCCGGGGTATCAGTCAGGGATGCGGGGAGCCGGAGGGCAGGGCAGAGCTGGGGGAGAGCAGGGACGGAACAGGGGATGGGGTTATCTGGGGACTAAGGGTGGGGTCAGAGGCTGGGGTGAGCCGGGGGACAGCAGACCGGGGTAGTTGGGGACTAAGGCTGGTCAGGGTTAGCCAGGGGGCAGGGACACAGCCTGACTGGTAGGTACTTACATGCCCCACCCCCACACTGGCAGCGGCCATGTCCCATTCGTTAATGGAGTCTCCTCTCCCACCCCTGAGGGAGAAAGGGAAGGGCTCCTACCCCATGGCCCCGAGGGGAGTTGGGCAATGAGATGCTGAGGGCTGGTCCCAGGCCCGACAGCATCCATGCTGCACCAGGGACCTGCGCAGGAAGCATCCCCACTGTGGGTCTGGCCCCCTCCCCCTGGCCAGGCCCCCCTGCTGTGGCTGCCTGGAGAGTCTCCTATGCCCCGCCCCGGGGCCCACCGCAGAGGCTCCCGCCCACCTCTCCTGACTGGTTCTCGTTGAGTTTGTGACCCAGGCTCAGCTGCTTGAAGTCTATGCCTGCCAGTTTGTTCAGGGTCCCGTTTCCTGCCATGAGAAAGGGAGACACTGTCACACCCCAGGGATCCCTGCATGCAGCCCTCCCCCTGCCATTCTCTGTGCCAAGAAGAGTGAGGGGGGGAGGAGCTGGGGGATCCCCACAATACGAATCAGCTGCCCACATTCAGTCTCCCCCACCCTGAGGCTCCCTCCCTGATGGAGAGACTTTGCCCTCCTCCCCCTACACAAACCCACTGGAGGTGCCCCAAGCAGCCTCCTGGGAGACACCCACACGTTCCTCCCCAATCCCAGCCAGGGCCCAGGTCCTTACGGGGCCGCGTGCGGGTGGTGCCCTTCCAGAAGGTGTCCTTGTAGGGGATCTTGGTCAGGTTCTGGCCCAGCTTCTCTGCACGCTCTGGGGAGATGGAGACACTCAGCACTAGGGGGCTGGGGTGGAGCAGCCAGAACTGAACCTGAGGGCTCTTGTGACCGGTAATTTTTGCCTGCTGGAGAACTAACTGCAGCAAATCGGTCAAGCAGTTTTCCTACAGACTGTGAAACCAGATGCCAGAGCAGCACCTAGTCTGCGCTGGGCCAGGCAGAGGCCAAGCTGACATGGCTCAAGGGCCGTGAGGTGCCCTTAACGTGGGAAAGAAGCTCCCTATGTCAAGTCTGGCCGCACAGAGGTGGGTTTAACTGGTGGACGAAATAATAAGCTGGACTATGCTGGCCCTTTGCCGTCTCCACTGGGGTATGAAAAAATTCTCAGCTGCTCATTCCTGCTCCCCGGCCAGCCCTCACTGGACCTCTTTGATTGTCAGAGGCATGTAAGAGCCGTTCTGTCTCCCACCCTTGTGTTACTTTCTGCCCCCCATCCCTTTCTTGCTTTTCACTGGATCCTGAAATCAACTGTACAGCACACATCAGCCCAGGGAGATGAGACAGCCCTGCCCTGCCTGAGGAGAAATGATCCAGCTGAGCGACATTCCTTGCACGAGCCAGGGTCCAGAGCTACATGGGTCGTAGTCAGGAGCCACTTCCTCACTGTTCCATTGTCCTACTGGTCTTATAGATGCCTTGGGAGGTCATGGAAGCTCCTTGGCTGGAGGTTTCCAAAGGAGGCTGGAGCCAGCTGTCTGGGATGGGTTAGACCCAACAAATCCTAGTGGGCCCTTCTAACCTGCGATCCCAAAGCATCCAACAGCCGCCCAGTGTTCCACGAACCGCAGCGAAAGCTGTATGCCCCCACCTTTTCTATCCTTTCTTCTCCACGCTGGGTCTGTTTCTAACAAACAGGAGAAGTGGATCCCTTTGCAGAGCAGGACAGAGTAAAATTAACCTCTTCCTTTCTCGCAAAGACAGGTGGCTGGTAAAATAAAACTCACATAGTCTGCCTCCAAAATGACTCAGGGTTTGATTATGCAAAACAAACACAAGGTCAGTTTGGCTTGTTTTGGTTTCTTGTTCTCTCTGGGTTTTGATCAACAAACTTCCAACTTCGGAATGGATGCACTGGCATCTGCTAGGAAGAACAAAGCTCTGAGCCTGGGTACTGTTCTCAGGTCGGACCATGCTCTTGGAGAGCAATACAGCAGAGCCCTGGGGTAGCAACAGAGCTGGGGGAGCATGGCAAGATGGGGTGGGGGGGTGGCAGGATCAGGAACGAGGGGGGAGGTTGGAGACAGGATAGTTGGGGGGGGTGACTTGGTGGTGTGGTTGGGGCAAAGGGATTGGGGGGTGGGGATCATTGGAGCAGAGGTTGGAGGTGCAGGGCAAGGTGGGTGGTCACCAGGGGGTGAGGGTGCAGGGCAGGATGGGGGTTGCAGGGGTGAGGAGTGCAGGGCAGGATGGGGGGTCACCAGGGGCAGGGGGTGCAGGGCAGGTGGGGTGCAGGGCAGGATGGGAGGGTCACGGGGGGGGGGTGGGCATGCAGGGTGGAATGCGGGGTCGCCAAGGCAGGGGGTGCAGGGCAGGATGGGGGGGTCACGAAGGGGTGGGGGTGCAGAGCAGGATGGAGGGTCACCAAGACAGGGGATGCAGGGCAGGATGGGGAGGTCACCAGGGGGTGGGGGTGCAGGGCGGGATGGGTGGTTGCCAGGACGGGGAGCTCCTACCTTTCAGCAGTTCACGCAGTGGTACCTTGGCCTTATCCACAGGCATCTCGCCATATTTGTTGGAGATGCTGACGAGGGCCCCGCTGCTCACCAGGTCCTGGGGGCAGGGACAGGGTGAGAACTTAGTGCCCAGCCCCCACTCCCACCAACCCCTATCTTCTGCCCCCCCCGCCCAGTCCCCCCATGCCACCCTGCCACCACCCATGGGGCCCTGCTCACCTCGGCCACCTGGTCATGCCCCCAGAAGCAGGCGTAGTGCAGCGGCGTGTTCCCATGCTCGTTTACTGCGTTGATGTCTGCCTTGAACTGGATCAGCTGGGAGGGAAGAGACAGCAGCCTCAGCTGGGGGGAACTTCGGGGACACGCTCCCCCCCACCTCTAGACACCCCAGCTCCAGCCTCTCCACGCTGGGGGAAAGGGCAGGGGACTGGCTGGGGGGAGGGGGCTGCCAGCAGGGGGACAGGGAGGAGGGGGGAGAAACAGGTGCTGAGTGTAAAGTGGATGCTCCCAGTAGGGGGTGCTGCAGGGAGGGGGCAGGGCACCGGGGTGGGGGCGGGGAACTATCCCCATAGGGGGTGCTAGCTGTGGGGAGCCCCAGCATAGGGGCGGGGGGCTGGCTGAGGGGCTTGGCAGGGGAAGCCCCCACACAGGGGCGAGGGGTGGCTGGGGGGCTCAGCGTGGGACTCAGCAGGGGGCAGCACCACCCCCTACCTTCTGCACAATGTCCCGGTGCCCGTGGCTGGCTGCCAGATGCAGCGGGGTGTCGTCGCCGCGGTTCATGACGTTGATGCGGGCGCCCCGCATGATGAGCATGTCCACCACGGTGGAGCGGCCCTCACGGCAGGCCCAGTGCAGGGGGCTGAACCCGTGGTCGTCCCTGGAGAGGGAGGGGGTGAGTTCTGGGGAGACAGGGCCAACACCATGCTCCAGCAGCCCCTCCCCTGCCCGGGCTGGTTCAGGGACCCCCAAGGCGCATGCATGCATGGGTGCTGGGAGCAGGGAGCCAGCTGGCCTGAGCCCCATGCCTGTGGGGCTGGGTGGCAGGGAGCAACCAGAGAGGGAGGGGTCACAGATCAAGGAGGACGGGAGGGGTAACAAGGCAGTATGGGGGGAATCAGGCTGAGTTTGGGGAACCCCAAGCCCTGGCAATGGGCTGTGGGAAGTGAGGGGTCTGGGGGGGGCTGTCTCCAGTCCTCTCTCGACCCCCAAGCACAGGGGGATCCGGCGGCCCTGTCCCTGTCCCAGTCCCAGCTGCTCTCGGCTGAGTCGGCCTGGAATCCCCCCACCCCCCTGCCAGTAAGGGAGGCTGAGAGAGGCCAGACCTTAAAAGGAGATTCCATTCTGGTGGGGGGGGAGCTCTCCTGCCTGGCTCAGCCCCCGCCCAGCTCAGCCCGTGGAGTGCACCCTCCACCCAGCCTGGTCCCACAGCCCCAGGAAGGCCCCCCACCAGTCCAGCCCCAGAGAGCTCCCCCTCTCCACCCCACCCAGCTCCAGGGAGCCCCTCCCCAACCAGTCCAGCCCCACAGCCCTGGGGAGCCTCCCGCAACATGTCCAGCTCCATAGCCTTAGGGAGCCCCCCCCATCCTCCACCCAGTCCAGCCCCACAGCCCCAAGGAGCTCCCCCCCTCCACCCAATCCAGCCCCACAGCCCCAGGGAGCCCCACGTTGCCCTGCCCACAGCTCTGGGGGCTCCCCCACCTGGCTATCTGAGAGAGTGCCTGCCCCCCGTGGACACAGCACTGGTGACCCGTCCACACTCCACAACCTCTCCTGCAGCTCCCCATTCCCCACCCTAAGCCAGCCCCTGCTCAGGGCCCTGCCCCGATACACCTGCCGCCCGTGTGCCCAGACTAGAACCGACCCCAGGGCCCTGCCCCCCACCCCCCGTGTTCCCTCCAAACACAGTGACAGCTAAGCCCAAGGGGTGGGAGCATGGGGGACAGAACAGACCCAGGGTATGCAGCTCCCTGCCCGACCCGCCACAGCCCCTCAGGAGCCCCTGGGGCTGGCATCTGCCAGGGAGCAACCGACCCAGTGCCTGGCTGGGGACTCTCCCAACCCTCCCAGGGCGGAGCACAAGCCAAAGGGGGGCCGGGGAGGCAGCAGCGGAGCTGCACGAGGGAGCATATGGGGAACTAGTGTTTGTCCCCAGGCCCCTTCACTCAGCCCTGGGCCCCTCCCTGCTGCGGCACCTGTCCTGCCAGACCCCCCGCCCCAGCTTCCAGCCCTGGGCCCCTCCCTGCTGCGGCACCTGTCCTGCCAGCGCCCCCCCAGATGCCAGCCCTGGGCCCCTCCCTGCTGGGGCATCTGTCCTGCCAGCTTGCCCCCTCCCCAGCAGCCAGCCCTGGGCTCTTCCCTCCAAGGGGACCGAGTCCCGGGACAGAGCAACAGAACAAAACCTGCCCCACTTGGCTCAGCAGTGGCTCCTGAGGGGCTGAGCCCTGGGTGTAGGGAGGCTGGGGGCAGTGGGATGGATGCGGTGGAGGCAGCGGCTTGGGGGCAGCCCCTGTGTGCAGGGTCAGGCAGAGCTCTGATGATGGGGTAGGGCTGGCTCGGGCACGGATGGATCAGACGGACCCGAGACGCTTCCCTGCAGGATTTGCAACACCAGCAGCTCACTAGCTGCACGCTAAACGGCCCAGGCTGGGCTCCCGGGGCGAGCAATGCTACCAGGCAGGGAGACCACTGCACCTACTGCCTGGCCCAGGAGCCATCGCTCTGGCTTGGGCACAAAGAGAACAGCCGATTCCCTCGGGCCCCAGCCCCCTAAGGGCCCCCCAGGGCCAGAAAAATGGCGCTGCCCATGCCTGGGGGCCAGAAGCCAGCTGCTCCTCCTGCGGCCCCAGCTGCAGGCATGTGCTGCTGAGCCCGTGCCTTAGCGATGTCGTAACTTCCTGCTCCGGCGGAGCGCTGAATTCCTCCCTTCCCGCAGGCTGCTGGTGGGGCGCAGGCGGCCGAGCCGCTGCGTCACTTACAGCCCCAGGTAGCCCAGCTGAGCCCCCTCCCTGGCAGGGTGCCCCCCCCCCCCCCCGTGCAGGGTGCCACGCCCGCCCCAGTCACCCCTGGTTCAGGTCGTTCTCAGTGTTGTCCAGCCAGAGGCGCACGGCCACGGCGTTGCCCTCCCGGCACTGCGTGAAGATGTCGTCCATCCCGGCTCCTGCAAGGGAGAGGGGCCCCGTCAGCAGAGATGGGAGCTGGGCCCCACGGACCATCCCAGGGACTCTGATCCCATTTGCTGCCCCCCACCAGGCCTGGCCCTGCAGCCCATCCCCTGAGCTCCGACCCCCTTCCTCCCCCACTGCCCCAGGCACTGCCAGACTCACGGCCCATCCTGCAGGCTCCAACCCCATTCCCACCTCTGCAGGACCAGCCCCCCCCAGCCCATCCTCTGGCTCTGTGCAACCCTGAACACTGGGGCTCTCCCAGGAGCCAACTCCCTCCCTTGTGTTGCTGCCAGTGAGGGGCTGGGGGCCCAGCAGCCCCCTCCTCTGCCTCATGCTGGTTCAGTGCAGCAGAGCTGGACCAAGGAGGTTCTGTGCAACGGCTGGCAAGGGAGGAGGGGAAGTTCCTGGCTGACACGGGTGTCACGAGTGGCTGTGCTCAGCCCCACTGTGAGCAGCTTCCCTTCCACAGGCTTATCTCTGCACAGAGCCAGCCACTCGCAGCCACCGGGGAGGATGTGTGAGGCCTTGGGGGCGGGAGAGCGTGGGGGACACTTCCTGCTGTGGTGGCCATCCCCCTTCCCAGCAAAACCACAAGAGGCCTGGCAAGGCCACAGGGCAAGTGGCTGGCACTGGGACACAGTGAGTGTAGAACCCAGGAGTCCTGATCCCCATCCAGTCCCCAGTGCCCTCCCAGAGCTGGGGAGGGAACCTAGGAGTCCTGGTGCCCGGCTTTTCATTGCTTGACCACGCTCCTCCTTGCCTTCAGGGCAGATGGGCACCCCGCCCTGCCAGGGACATGGTCAGCGAGCAAAGCGCTTCTGTAGCTAAAACCGTGGGGTGCAGGGAGTGGAGCATTACATTGGTTCCCTCACTCCCGACCCACAGCCCCTGCCCCCACAGCCCTGCCCCCCCCAGCTCTGCCAGTGCCTCTCACTCCCCCAGCAAGGGGGCACCCCACAATAAATGCTAACAGATGCTCTGCTTTCCTCTCCTGGGGGCAGCTTCTAATGCAGACACACAGGGAGTGCCGGGGACAGAGGGGAATCCAGGGGCCTTATTGTCCCCACAGAGCACATACCCCACAGGGACAGGAACCAGAGAGAGGGGAGCAGGGGGTGCTGGGTCACTGATCCCCTGGGCGTGATAAACAGCCTGGAGCCCCACCCAGTCACTCTGCCCCATCACTGTTGATCTGCAGCCTGCCTGCCCCATCTGTGCCTCATCCCCTGACCCTGGCTGTTTGGTCATGCGCCCCCAGCTCACCCTGTGCCCCCCCACTCTCCTGTCTGTGCCCACTCAACCATGCACCTGCCACTTGCTACCCCTGGGCTCGCTCGGCTGCGCCCCCCACTTTCCCAGGCCCGCTCCGCTGCGCACCCCCACTCGCCTTCCGCCGCACGCCCCCTGCTCTGCTGGGCCCTCTCCGCCATGGGCCCCCCACCCCAAGCTCTCCGCTCCGCCATATGTCGCTGGCTCCCCTTCTTGCGTGCGCCTCCAGCTCCCCCCACCCTCTCTGCCACCCCCCCCCTGCAGGCCCACTTGGCCGCACTCCCCCCCTTTCCAGGCCTGCTCCACCACGCGCCCCCCACTTCCCTTCTGCCACATGCCCCCAGCTTCCCCGGGCACGCTCTGCCACCTACCCCCCACCGGACCCCCCCCACTCGCTTGGACCCCCTCCGCCACACGCCCCCCTCTGCCCTGGCCTCACTCCCCCATCTCAACCCCCCCAACCCATCTCTCCGTGTACCAGTGCCACTGTAGGGCCCCAAGCTGCCCTCGGTGCCCCTCTTCCCTGCCATACCCCCCTTTCACCCCTTGACCCCCCCAGCTCGCCCCATGCCCCCGTCCCCCCACTCTCCTCCCAGCACTGCATCCATGGGGCAGGGACTCGTTGGCCGCCCCCGCAAGCTCAAAATGGCCCAGCCTGCCTGGGGGCAGCATCAGCCCACGGATACACCCTCCCCCCCCGCCACTACTCGCCCGGCCCCACGGATACACCCCTCCCCCCCGCCGCTACTCGCCCGGCCCCACGGATACACCCTCCCCCCCGCCGCTACTCGCCCGGCCCCACGGATACACCCTCCCCCCCCGCCACTACTCGCCCGGCCCCACGGATACACCCTCCCCCCGCCGCTACTCGCCCGGCCCCACGGATACACCCTCCCCCCCGCCGCTACTCGCCCGGCCCCACGGATACACCCTCCCCCCCGCTACTCGCCCGGCCCCACGGATACACCCTCCCCCCCGCGCTACTCGCCCGGCCCCACGGATACACCCTCCCCCCCCGCTACTCGCCCGGCCCCACGGATACACCCCCCCGCTACTCACCCGGCCCCACGGATACACCCCCCCCCGCTACTCGCCCGGCCCCACGGATACACCCCCCCGCCCCCCGCTACTCGCCCGGCCCCACAGATACACCCTCCCCCCGCGCTACTCGCCCGGCCCCACGGATACACCCTCCCCCCCCGCTACTCGCCCGGCCCCACGGATACACCCTCCCCCCCGCGCTACTCGCCCGGCCCCACGGATACACCCTCCCCCCCCGCTACTCGCCCGGCCCCACGGATACACCCCCCCCGCTACTCGCCCGGCCCCACGGATACACCCCCCCCCGCTACTCACCCGGCCCCACGGATACACCCCCCCCCCCCGCTACTCGCCCGGCCCCACGGATACACCCCCCCCCCCGCTACTCGCCCGGCCCCACGGATACACCCCCCCCCGCTACTCGCCCGGCCCCACAGACCCCCTCCAACATACGCCCGCCCCGCTCCCGGCCACTGCGCTCCAGGCGGCTCCGAGTCCGACTCGGGGAAGCGACGGGACCCGGCCCCGGCCCCGCCCGCGGAAGCGGCCCGAGCGTAGCGGCCCCTAGCGGCGGCTCTGGGATTTGCAGGGAGAGACCGCAAGGGGCCGGCCCCGATCCCGCCCCCCGCCGGCCCCAGGTTCCTCCCCCCGCCGGCCCCGATCTCGCTCCCGCCGGCCCCAGGTTCCGACCCCGCCGCAGGCCCCTCCCCGGCCTCAGGTCCCGCCCCCCCGCCGGCCCCAGGTTCCGACCCCCCGCCGGCTACTGCCCAGTCCCGATCCCGCCCCCCCGCCGGCCCCTCCCTGGCCCCAGCTCCCGCCCCCTCCCCGGCCCCAATCCCGCCCCCCGGCGGCCCCTCCCGGTCCCAGGTCCCGCCCCCCGCCGGCCACTGCCCAGCCCCGATCCCGCCCCCTCGCCGGCCCCTCCCGGTCCCAGGTCCCGCCCCTCCCCCAGCCGGCCCTTCCCCGGCCCCGATCCCGCTCCCCCGCCTGCCCCAGTTTCCGCCCCCCGCCGGCCCCAGGTCCCGCCCCCTACAGAACCCCTCCCTGCCCAGCGGGGAGGAGCCGGCTCCGTCCCGCCCCCAGCTCAGGACTTCCGGCCTTCAGGCTGCGGGGGGCCGCTCTAGCCGCGTGTTTCCACGGCTCTATGGGGCTGTGGGTGCCGCCGAGAGCGGCCACGTGAGGGTCACTCGGAGCAGGTCGGGAGCCGGGGGGGCTGCAGGTCGGGAGTGAGGGGCACCGGCAGGGGGCTGCGGGTCGGGAGTGAGAGGCACCGGCAGGGCTGTGGGGGCAGGGGCTGCGGGTCGGGAGTGAGGGGCACCGGCAGGGCTGTGGGGGGCAGGGGGCTGCGGGTCGGGAGTGAGGGGCGCCGGCGGGGCTGGGGGGGGAGCAGGAGGCTGCAGGTCGGGAGGAGAGGCGCCGGCAGGGCTGTGGGGGGGCAGGGGGCTGCGGGTCGGGAGTGAGAGGCACCGGCAGGGCTGTGGGGGGGCAGGGGGCTGCGGGTCGGGAGTGAGGGGCGCCGGCGGGGCTGGGGGGAGCAGGAGGCTGCAGGTCGGGGAGTGAGAGGCACCGGCAGGGCTGTGGGGGGCAGGGGGCTGCGGGTCGGGAGTGAGAGGCACCGGCAGGGCTGTGGGGGGCAGGGGCTGCGGGTCGGGAGTGAGGGGCACCGGCAGGGCTGTGGGGGGCAGGGGGCTGAGGGTCGGGAGTGAGGGGCACCGGCAGGGCTGTGGGGGGAGGGGGCTGCGGGTCGGGAGGAGGGGACCGCAGGGCTGTGGGGGGCAGGGGGCTGCGGTCGGGAGTGAGAGGCACCGGCAGGGCTGTGGGGGGCAGGGGCTGCGGTCGGGAGGAGGGGGCGCGGGGCTGGGGGAGCAGGGGGCTGCTCGGGAGGAGAGGCACCGCAGGGCTGTGGGGGGCAGGGGCTGCGGGTCGGGAGTGAGAGGCACCGGCAGGGCTGTGGGGGGGCAGGGGCTGCGGGTCGGGAGTGAGGGGGCGCCGGCGGGGCTGGGGGGGAGCAGGAGGCTGCAGGTCGGGAGTGAGAGGCACCGGCAGGGCTGTGGGGGGGCAGGGGGCTGCGGGTCGGGAGTGAGGGGCACCGGCAGGGCTGTGGGGGGGGCAGGGGGCTGCGGGTCGGGAGTGAGGGGCACCGGCAGGGCTGTGGGGGGGCAGGGGGCTGCGGGTCGGGAGTGAGGGGCACCGGCAGGGCTGTGGGGGGGCAGGGGGCTGCGGGTCGGGAGTGAGGGGCACCGGCAGGGCTGTGGCGGGGCAGGGGGCTGCGGGTCGGGAGTGAGGGGCACCGGCAGGGCTGTGGGGGGGCAGGGGGCTGCGGGTCGGGAGTGAGGGGCACCGGCGGGGCTGTGGGGGGGCAGGGGGCTGCGGGTCGGGAGTGAGAGGCACTGGCAGAGCTGGGGGGGGCAGGGCTGTGGGGGCAGGGGCTGTGGGTCGGGAGTGAGGGAACCAATGTAATGCTCCCTGGTTCCAGGGTGTGAGGCTTTTGGGGGATTGTGTCAGATGTTGGTGCAATATCCTGGAGAAAGCTTAATAAATAGTTTTACCCCCTTTGGGGTCCATTATTTTTAAAATGTGGCTGTGTATGTGGATATGTCAACACTTACAGTGCGGGTGGTGCAGCTCCAGTGCAGGCAGGGAGTTCTCCCCTGGCTGGTGAATCCCGTCCCCAGGGCGCTGTCAGCTTGCTCTGGGGAGTGGATTTTTCACAGCGCTGAGCAACCTCGTTATCAGCCCTTTGAAGCCAACTCCAAATCCAGTTTGTGCCCAGTGTGTAGTTTAAACTGGGTTCTCCACTGACTGACAAAGAGTTTGTGGATAAATTGCCTTGTTTTAAACGGGCTCCAGCCTTTTTCCTGATCTACCCCAAGGGGCTGGTTTTGGTCCAGAGAGGGCCCCGATCCTTTGGGTACAGTTGAAGGCCTGGGCTCCTGAGGCCTATAGGCTGAGTGGCTGTTCTGAGCCGAAGCCAGCCTGAATTTGTGACCACAGAGGAGACCCTTGGCGGGGGGTGAAAGGCGGCTCCTGCCAGAGCACGTAGATTCTTGGAGTGTCATGTGGTGCCCTACGAAGGAAAGAGCTGGGGTCCCCCCTCACTGCCGACAGTCACTCTGTGCCCAGCACCCTGTTGTTGGGAATCGCAGGGACCGGGCAGCCTGCGCAGGAGGGGGAGATGTGGGTCTTGCCCACGAAATGCAGCTGCTGGGGCGCCCAGGGGAAATACGGGAGCCATTGGCCCTGACTCTCCAGGGAAACACAGCTTGGAGGCCTCACCACTGTTCTTCTGTTCTAGGCCAGTGGGAGCCGCCTGGGGAGACAGCCGGGTTCCTGGCAGCTGCACCATGTTTGACGAAGGGGGGTGGAACAAGGAGGATGACGGGGAGGCTCTCAGCCAGGCTCTCCTGCGCCCTCGGCACCGCCCTGCCCAGCACTGCACCCTGGTGAGCCCCCGCCCCATCTTTCCAGAGATGTGGACTCATCTGGCGGGTGGCACGGATCAGGATGGGGGCAGGAGCTGAGGAGGGGGTAAGCTCCGTGGGCGGGCGAGAGGGGTGCCTTTTGCCTCAGGTGGGGTGGGAGCAGCGCAGACCCCTTGGGCCCCCTTAGCTCTGGGGGCAGCACTGATGCCCTGCTGTCTCCAGGCTCCTAGAGGCTCCTTGCAGAAGCAACGCAGGCAGCTCCTCGCGACCCTGCAGCGCCTAGAGGCCTCGAGCTGCACGGACCCTCCTCAGAGCCCTGGGCCCCTGTCTGGGGACAGCGAATCTGAGTCTGACTCTGCGGGCCGGGCAGGGAGGAAACAGCCCAGGAAACAGAGACAGGGCCTGAAACCCAGAGCTGCCTCCTCCCCCGGTGTTGCCCCAGGGGCTCCAAGCTGCTCCGGCGCTCCCCACCCAGGACCGGAGGCAGGCCCCGCTGGCAGGAGACGGAGGAAAGGTATGGAGCGGACCTGTAGAGCTCCCCCTCCCAGGGGGACTCCAGAGTGGGGGGAGCCAAGTCGAGTCTTGGGATCTTCCTGCAGGGAGATGCACCCGCCTGGGGCCACGTCTCAGGAGGGGGACCGAGCTGGGGGGTCCGGCTGGGAGCAGCTGGCACTGCACCTGGGCCTTGTGGGCAGGGCTGCGTGGAGCAAGCAAGCCCTGTAGCAGAGGGGCTGGATGGGCTGTACCCTGAATTCCTTGAGCTGTGCGCACTGAGCGGGTGCCTCACCCTGAAGCCAGGCTTCCAGGCCCATCCCGGTGTTGCTACGTCGCTCGGGGAGTGGGACCTGTGTAGCCACCTCCAGCAGGCAGGCTGAGTGCGCCAACTCTCCTGTCGGCCTCGGAGCGTCCTCGCCAGAGCTAAGTGGTGTGGGGGCCGCTGGGCCAATGCAGCAGTTAAGCGTCAGCCTGCCCTGTCTCTTCCCCTAGATTCTGCAGCAGAGGCCCCCGGGGACAGCACGCCTGCACCCAGCAAAGAGCAGCCGAGCCGGGAGCTGGGCGCAGCCGCTGGCAGGCCGGTTCCATTGCTGACCAGGAAGCAGTGGAGGAACAAACAGAAGAATAAAAGGCGACAGAAGAACAAGTTCAAAGCGGGTGCGGGGCAGGATGTGGGGCAGGGGACCTCGGCACTGCCCGCGTCTGAGCTCTCGGGGGTGCTGCGGGCCCGGATGGAGGAGCGGCTCCAGTCAGCCCGTTTCCGCTACATCAACCAGCAGCTCTACATGTCCAGCAGCCAGGAGGCAGCCCAGCTCTTCCAGCGCGACCCTGCTGCCTTTGCCATCTATCACCGCGGCTTTGCCCGGCAGGTGGGGCGCTGGCCTGAGAATCCAGTTCACCGCATTATCCAGTACCTGCGGGGTCGGTGAGTGCAGGGGCCGGGTGGGTGCTGCAGGGGGACCTCGGCCCTGCGCAGGGGTCGGGCATGGCTGAGCCCTGGTGGGGACCCTGTGGCCAGGGTGGGGGGGTCCATGGCCTGGCACTGACTCTCTGCTTCCCCCTCAGGCCGGCCTCGCTGGTGGTGGCAGATTTTGGCTGCGGCGACTGCAAGATTGCGACCAGTGTCAGGAACAAGGTTCATTCGTTCGACCTGGTGGCGCTGAGCCCACGTGTCACTGTGTGTGACATGGCCAAGGTAGGGGAGGTGGGGGGGTCCCGGCCGGGGGGTTGAGGTTGGGCGTGGGCCTGCAGGGAGCAGGTACAGGTATGCGTGGGGGGGGGGGTGTCTCCCTCTGTCACATTCCGCCCCGGGGCTCACGCTGCTGGTTGGCCTTGCAGGTGCCGCTGGCAGACGAGTCTGTGGATGTCACCGTGTTCTGCCTGGCGTTGATGGGCACCAATCTGCAGGAGATCCTGGAAGAGGCCAACCGGGTGCTGAGGCCAGGGTAACGGGGGCCTGGGATAACCTGGGAGGCCCTGGAGGGGCTGCGTGGCAGCACAATGCTGAGGGGTGGAGGCATAAAGCTGGAGCATGAGGGTGGGCCGTGAGGCACCAGGGCACAAACCCAGGAGAGCACATCTCTGACTGATGGGCCTGGCCTCCCGAATCACAGCAGGGTGCCAAGGGGGACAGAGTGTTGCTGGGATGCTGGGGGAACTCCTCCCCCCCCCCCCCCGGGCGGGCTCTGTGCGGCTTGAAAGCTGGTATCCCACACCAACCAAAGTGGGTCCAATAAAAGTTCTTGAGGCCTTGTGTCTCTAACCTCCCAGGACCAACAGCCACAGCTCCCCGCACGCAGCCACACTTGGGCTACTCTTCCACTCAAAGGGCCCATCACCTAGCCCAGGTCAGCTGCTCTTTGGGTTTCATGTAGCCAGTCCTGAGATAGACTCTTCAGATGTCAATGGGAGAGAGATTCCCCAGGTTAGAGCAGCCAGCCAGGCACAGGAAAGCGTTGCAGTCTTTGTTTTTTAAAGCTACTGCAGGCTCCGTACCCAGCAAGCTCCCTTTGTCCTTAGGACTAACCCGGGCTAAGCAGCTGGGGATCCCTGCTCATGCCGAGTCACCCCCGTGCGCCCACCTCCGCCTCTGCCCCCCCACCCCCGTCCAAGCAGCAGTGAGCTAGGTAGTTTGGTTAGTTTGGGAATTTTACCCTCCTCCTGTGGTGTGCTCAGAGGGGGCAAACTCAGCTGTTGAGAGGAGTCCACTCTTCACAGCAGCAGGAGTCCTCTTGTTGCTGCTTTCTGAGCCCAGATGTGGGGAGTTTCCAGCTGTAGGATCCCCCAGAGCCCATTTGGGATCGGAGGGCTGCTCTTTGGGGGGGAAGGGTTTAGGATGGAGCAGCAGCTGGTCCCCACCTGTACGGAGACTTGACAGTCACACGGGCTCGAGTATTACAGTCCGACACACAGCACAGACAGTACAATGCAGCCAGCAACTCCCATATTAACACACGGCTGAGCCACCCCGATTCCAGCTCTGTCTCTGCCCGTGCCCAGGGCAGACACTGGAATCTGGGGATCAACGGGCATCTGGTCTGCCAGCAGCCTAGTAGCTGTGGCCACTCAGAGAGCAAAGGGGAGCAGGATAAAGCAGAAGCCGTGGTGGGGAAATCGCAAAGATGGGTGAGTGTGGGTGTGGGGGTAGAGGGACTGCTAACTGGGGGGTTAAAGGGGTGGAGGGGAGCTGCACAGAGCAGTAGCTGTGGGGGATACGGGCAGTGGCAGTGGGTGGCGGGGAGCTGCACAGAGCAGGAGCTGTGGGGGATTGTCACAGAGTCCCCGGGCGATGCTCTGGAATGGCTCCCTACAAAGCCAGGCAGGACTCTGGGGGAGTCTCCTCTCTCTGAGCAGCCTGTCTGCAGGACACATAGCTCACACAGCTTCCACCTTCCTGGGTCTGACCTCGGAGCATTCAGCCTCCTCTGCCCCTCCGGGCGCTTCCCACACCGAGTCCACCCAGGCGGGGTCCTGGGGAAGCCAGAGGGTCCTGCCCCCCAACTCCACAGTCAGATGTGATTCTCAGTTAGCCAGGAAAATAGAGGTTTATTAGACGACAGGAACATGGTCTAATACAGAGCTTGTAGGTACAGAGAACAGGACCCCTCAGCCAGGTCCATTTTGGGGGGCAGTGAGCCAGACAACCCCGTCTGCCCTTCACTCCATGTCTCCAGCCAGCCCCAAACTGAAACTCCCTCCTGACCCACCTCCTCTGGGCTTTGTCCCTTTCCCAGGCCAGGAGGTCTCCTGATTCCTTTGTTCTCCAACCCTTTAGCTCTCACCTTGCAGGGGGGAAAGGCCCAGGGCATCAGTTGCCAGGAAGACAGAGTGTCGGCCATTTATGTACCCTGGCCCTTTACTCTGCAACAATCACACCCCCTTATCCCACCCCCTAGAGACTTAAGAAATGCCTAGGGGAAACTGAGGCACCCCTACAGTATTCAGAGGAGATATTAAGAACAGTCCCACTTCGTCACAGGGATATGGGCACTGGCAGAGGGGTGGAGGATTGCTGCACAGAGCAGGAGTTGTGGGGGATACGGGCAGTGGCTCAAGGAACCAGCCCTCTCCCCTCACCTGGCATCTCCCCAGGGGCACGCTGAAGGTGGCAGAGGTTGCCAGCCGCTTCGCAGACATCCGGGCCTTTGTGAGCGCCGTGACTCAGCTGGGCTTTCAGATTGTCTCCAAGGTGAGTCCTACCCCCTCTCTGCGTGATGTGAGCAGGACTTGCCCCAGGGTCCAGCAGGGCAGGGTGGGGCCCGGGGGTGTGGGCTGCCATGGGCAGGGTGGGGCCTGCCTCTGCCCCTGAGCTGTTGCTGCCCCCTGCCCCTAGGACAAGGTAGGGCAGGGAAGCTTGCTGAGTTGCTCTTGGCCTGTGTCTGGCTAGGAGGCCCACTGGCAGGGCTGGGCTTTGGTGGCAGGTGCCGGGGAGGGGGAGGTTGTGGCGGGGGTGCAGCAGGGAGGTGGGTGGTAGATGCAGGGGGAGGTTGGGGGCTGGTGAGGAGCAGGTGTTGGGAGGGATAAGATGGGTTGTGGGGGTGCAGAGGGAGGTGTTTGGCAGTGGCAGGAGCCAGTGGGCAGAGGGCAGGGAGGTGTCCTGGAGGGATGTGCGGGGGCTGGCCTAGCGCCCATCAGCTGTTTCTCCCCTTGCAGGACCTGGGCAATCCGTTTTTCTATATGTTTGATTTCTCCAAGACGGGGCAGCCCCGGGCTGGGGGGAGCCTGCCTGGCCTGGCGCTGAGACCCTGCCTCTACAAGAAGCGCTGAAGGGCCCCTCAGCTGGTGTCTGCCTGGGGCCTGCACCGGGCCCGGCCTGCCCTGGAGCCCCCACCCCTGCACCGGGCCCGGCCTGCCCTGGAGCCCCCACCCCTGCACCGGGCCCCGGGGCAGGGCGGGGTGCCTGTGCCTGAATTCCTGGAGCCCCCACCTCGCCTGGCACCTCGCCCGGCACCCCGCCCTGCCCTGGGGCCCCTGCGCCTGGATCCCACCCCTGCGCCCTGCCCTGGGGCCCCCACCTCGCCCGGCACCCCGCCCTGCCCTGGGGCCCCTGTGCCTACATCCCACCCCCTGCGCCCTGCCCTGGAGCCCCCACCCCGCCCTGCCCTGGGGCCCCTGTGCCTGGATCCCACCCCTGCGCCCTGCCCTGGGGCCCCCACCTCGCCCGGCACCCCGCCCTGCCCTGGGGCCCCTGCGCCTGGATCCCACCCCTGCGCCCTGCCCTGGGGCCCCCACCTCGCCCGGCACCCCGCCCTGCCCTGGGGCCCCTGCGTCCACATCCCACCCCTGCCCTGGGGCCCCCACCTCGCCCGGCACCCCGCCCTGCCCTGGGGCCCCTGCGTCCACATCCCACCCCTGCGCCCTGCCCTGGGGCCCCCACCTCGCCCTGCCCTGGGGCCCCCACCTCGCCCTGCCCTGGTGCCCCTGCCCAACCTCGGGGGTCCCACTCCATTTGTGGGGGGGGGGAGCTGTTGAGTCTCCTGGACTCGGCTGTGGGGGGGCAGTGCGAGGGGGGGGCTGGTGCGGGGGAGGCGGAGTGTATCGGCTGCAGTGTGTGTGTGTGCTGAGAGGAGGGAGGGGCGGTGCGGGGGGGGGGGCAGTGTGGGGTGGGCTGTGTGTGTGTCCCCCCCGAGAGGAGGGGGGGCGGTGCGGGAGGGCAGTGTGTGTGTGTGTGTGTCCCCCGAGAGGAGGGAGTGGCGGTGCGTGGGGGCGGTGTGGGTCGGGCTGTGTGTGTGTGTGTGTGTCCCGAGGGGGGGGGGCAGTGCGGAGGGGCGGTGTGGGTCGGGCTGTGTGTGTGTGTCCCGAGGGGGGGCGGTGTGGGTCGGGCTGTGTGTGTGTGTCCCGAGGGGGGGGGGGCAGTGCGGAGGGGCGGTGTGGGGCGGGCTGTGTGTGTGTGTGTGTCCCGAGAGGAGGGAGGGGCGGTGCAGGGGGGCAGTGCGGGGCAGGCTGTGTGTGTGTGTGTGTCCCGGGGGGGCAGTGCGGAGGGGCGGTGTGGGTCGGGCTGTGTGTGTCCCGAGGGGGGGGCGGTGTGGGGCGGGCTGTGTGTGTGTGTGTGTGTGTCCCGAGAGGAGGGGGGGCGGTGCAGGGGGCTGTGTGTGTGTGTGTGTGTCCCGAGAAGAGGGAGGGGCGGTGCATGGGGGCGGTGTGGGTTGGGCTGTGTGTGTGTGTGTGTGTGTCCCGAGGGGGGGGGCAGTGCGGAGGGGCGGTGTGGGTCGGGCTGTGTGTGTGTCCCGAGGGGGGGCGATGTGGGGCGGGCTGTGTGTGTGTGTGTGTGTCCCGAGAGGAGGGGGGCGGTGCGGGGGGGCTGTGTGTGTGTGTGTGTGTTCCCGAGAGGAGGGAGGGGGCGGTGCGTGGGGGCGGTGTGGGTCGGGCTGTGTGTGTGTCCCGAGGGGGGGGGGCAGTGCGGAGGGGCAGTGTGGGTCGGGCTGTGTGTGTGTGCCCGAGGGGGGCGGTGTGGGGCGGGCTGTGTGTGTGTGTGTGTGTGTGTGAGAGGGAGGGAGGGGCGGTGCAGGGGGGCAGTGCGGGGCAGGCTGTGTGTGTGTGTGTGTGTCCCGAGGGGGGGGGCAGTGCGGAGGGGCGGTGTGGGTCGGGCTGTGTGTGTGTGTCCCGAGGGGGGGGCGGTGTGGGGCGAGCTGTGTGTGTGTGTGTGTGCCGAGAGGAGGGAGGGGCGGTGCAGGGGGCGGTGTGGGTCGGGCTGTGTGTGTGTGTCCCGAGGGGGGGGGGGCAGTGCGGAGGGGCGGTGTGGGGCGGGCTGTGTGTGTGTCCCGAGGGGGGGGGGCGATGTGGGGGCGGGCTGTGTGTGTGTGTGTGTGTGTCCCGAGGGGGGGGGCGGTGCGGGGGGGCTGTGTGTGTGTGTGTGTGTCCCGAGAGGAGGGAGGGGCGGTGCGTGGGGGCGGTGTGGGTCGGGCTGTGTGTGTGTGTGTGTGTTCCCGAGGGGGGGGGGCAGTGCGGAGGGGCAGTGTGGGTCGGGCTGTGTGTGTGTGTCCCGAGGGGGGGCGGTGTGGGGCGGGCTGTGTGTGTGTGTGTGTGTGTGTGTGTGTGTGCCGAGAGGAGGGAGGGGCGGTGCAGGGGGGCAGTGCGGGGCAGGCTGTGTGTGTGTGTGTGTGTGTGTTCCCGAGGGGGATAGGGGGGTGGTGGTGTGTGTGTGTGTGTGTGGAGAGGAGGGAGGGGGGCAGGGGGCGGTGGGTGGGCTGTGTGTGTGTGTCCCGAGGGGGGGCAGTGCGGAGGGGCGGTGTGGGTCGGGCTGTGTGTGTGTGTCCCGAGGGGGGGGGTGGGGCGGGCTGTGTGTGTGTGTGTGTGTGCCGAGAGGGAGGGAGGGGCGGTGCAGGGGGCAGTGCGGGGCAGGCTGTGTGTGTGTGTGTCCCGGGGGGGCAGTGCGGAGGGGCGGTGTGGGGCGGGTGTGTGTGTCCCGGGGGGGGGGCGGTGTGGGGCAGGCTGTGTGTGTGTGTGTCCCGGGGGGGGGCAGTGCGGAGGGGCGGTGTGGGGCGGGCTGTGTGTGTGTCCCGAGGGGGGTGTGGGGCAGGCTGTGTGTGTGTGTATCCCGGGGGGGGGCAGTGCGGAGGGGCGGTGGGGGCGGGCTGTGTGTGTGTCCCGAGGGGGGGTGTGGGGCAGGCTGTGTGTGTGTGTGTCCCGGGGGGGCAGTGCGGAGGGGTGGTGTGGGGCGGGCTGTGTGTGTGTGTCCCGAGGGGGGGGGGTGTGGGGCGGGCTGTGTGTGTGTGTCCCGAGGGGGGGGGCGGTGTGGGGCGGGCTGTGTGTGTGTGTGTGTGTGTGTGTGTCTCCCCCGAGAGGAGGGAGGGGCGGTGCAGGGGGCGGTGTGGGTCGGGCTGTGTGTGTGTGTCCCGAGGGTGGGGGGGCAGTGCGGAGGGGCGGTGTGGGGCGGGCTGTGTGTGTGTCCCGAGGGGGGCGGTGTGGGGCGGGCTGTGTGTGTGTGTGTGTGTGTCCCGAGAGGAGGGAGGGGCGGTGCAGGGGGCGGTGCGGGGCAGGCTGTGTGTGTGTGTCCCGAGGGGGGGGGCGGTGTGGGGCGGGCTGTGTGTGTGTGTGTGTGTCCCGAGAGGAGGGGGGGCGGTGGGGCAGGCTGTGTGTGTGTGTGTCCCGGGGGGGGTGCGGAGGGGTGGTGTGGGGCGGGCTGTGTGTGTGTGTCCCGAGGGGGGCGGTGTGGGGCGGTGTGTGTGTGTGTCGAGGGGGGGGTGTGGGCGGGCTTGTGTTGTCCCGAGGGGGGGCGGTGTGGGGCGGGCTGTGTGTGTGTGTGTGTCTCCCCCGAGAGGAGGGGGGGCGCTGCTGAGTCTCCTGGACTCGGCTTTGGGGGGCCGGGGGGCTGTCACAGCTCGGTCGGGGAGAAGGGCGGACGGGCGGCCCCCCGAGCCCGCCGCCGGGAGCCTGTCGTTTTCACTGTTCACTTTATACCAATAAAGTTTTTGTTCAATCGCCTCGCAGTGCCTTGTGGGGATTGTAGTTCGGCGGGGCACAAGCTGCGCCGGTTGCGCGCATGCTCAGACTGGCCGGCGGCTGCTCCCTTCCACGGCGGGGCCTGGCCGGGCGCGTGCGCAGTGCGGCTGTCCGCGAGGGCCCCGGGCGCGTGCGCAGTGCGGACGGGCCTGCGGGGCCGCGGTGTTTCCTGCCCCGCGATGTCGGGTCCGGGGGGCCCGGGCCCCGGCGGGGGGAAGCTGGACATCAACCGCGCCGGGGTGTCCGAGCTGGAGGGGGCGCTGAGCGGCATCGGCCGGCGCCGGGCCCGGGGCATCGTGCGCAAGAGAGAGGTGGGGGGGGCTGTGCGGGGGCCCGGGGGGGGGAGGGGGCCTGTGGGGGGGGGGGGGTACCGGGGGTGGAGGGGGGGATAGGGGGCCCGGGGGGAGGAGGGGGCCTGTGCGGGGGGGTACCGGGGGACGGAGGGGGGCTGTGCGGGGGCCCGGGGGGGAGGGGGCCTGTGGGGGGGGTACCGGGGGACGGAGGGGGGCTGTGCGGGGGCCCGGGGAGTGGAGAGAGGGGGCTGTGCAGGGGGATACCGGGGGACGGAGAGGGGCGTGGGGAGGGGGCTGTGGGGGGGTACCGGGGGACGGAGGGGGCTGTGCGGGGGCCCGGGGAGTGGAGAGAGGGGGCTGTGCAGGGGGATACCGGGGGACGGAGAGGGGCTGTGCGGGGGCCCGGGCCGTGGGGAGGGGGCTGTGGGGGGGGTACCGGGGCAGAGGGGAGCTGTGCGGGGGCCTGGGGAGTGGAGAGGGGGGCTGTGCAGGGGGATACTGGGGGACGGAGAGGGGCTGTGGGGGCCCGGGCCGTGGGGAGGGGGCTGTGGGGGGGGTACCGGGGCAGAGGGAGCTGTGCGGGGGCCCGGGGAGTGGAGAGGGGGGCTGTGCAGGGGGATACCGGGGGACGGAGAGGGGCCGTGGGGGGGGGGCTGTGGGGGGGTACCGGGGCAGAGGGGAGCTGTGCGGGGGCCCGGGGAGTGGAGAGAGGGGCTGTGCAGGGGGATACCGGGGACGGAGGGGGCTGTGGGGGGCCCGGGGAGGGAGGGGGGGCTGTGCAGGGGGATACGGGGGACGGAGGGGGTGTGCGGGGGCCTGGGCCGTGGGGAGGGGGCTGTGGGGGGTACCGGGAGCAGAGGGAGCTGTGCGGGGGCCCGGGGAGTGGAGAGAGGGGGCTGTGCAGGGGGATACCGGGGGGACGGAGAGGGGCCGTGTGGGGGGGGGGGGGTACTGGGGCAGAGGGGAGCTGTGCGGGGGCCCGGGGAGTGGAGAGAGGGGGGCTGTGCAGGGAGATACCGGGGGACGAAGGGGGGCTGTGCGGCGTCCCGGGCCGTGGGGAGGGGGACTGTGCGGGGGGCCATGGGGAGGGGGGTTGTGCGGGGGCGTCCGGGGGCGGAGGGGGGCTGTGTGGGGGCCCGGGCTGTGGGGAGGGAGGGTTGTGTGAGGGGGCCCGGGCCGTGGGGAGGGGGGCTGTGGGGGGGTACCGGGAGCAGAGGGGAGCTGTGCGGGGGCCCGGGGAGTGGAGAGAGGGGGCTGTGCAGGGGGATACCGGGGGACGGAGAGGGGCCGTGTGGGGGGTACCGGGAGCAGAGGGGAGCTGTGCGGGGGCCCGGGGAGTGGAGAGAGGGGG